CAAACCACAAAACACCAGCAAATAGATAAAAGAAAGTGCTTCTCTGTGATACCAGTTTGGGGCAGTTTGGGCTTCACCATGACTGAAGCATAACAGCTTGCCCTGTCAAAAGCTGACTGCAGCTCCTGCTTCTCAGAAACACTTAGAACTGTCTAATTTTATGTCATTGTTTGGCCAGAAGGCTATTTCCGCATGGGAAAAAAGCTGTTAGGCTATAGACGATATTCCCATTACCCTCTTTTGAGAGAGGGTTACTTTGCACGGAACGCCAGCTGTATGCTGACTGTAAATACTTGCATTAGCTTTACCTCTGGAAAAAAAGCAAAAGTGAAAGTAGCAGTGCCATAAAAGCACAGCTCGTAGTTCAGTGCTGTAGCACGCAGCTAATGTTAGATTAACTGCTGCTTAATTGAGAGTAATTTCACTGTGCATTGTTGATATGTTCATAATTTATGGGCTGCTTTTTCCGTTTATGAGTGCCTTTTTGTACTTCAGGACCGCAGGTGATATTCTTTGTCAGAGTTCTGCAGTGCCCATTATCTGGTACCTAAGGCATTTCATTAGCATTTAAACAAGACTTAAGTGCCTGAGTAATTTTGAGATAGGCTGTATCTGCATGGCTAACTCACTACTGCATTTAATTAATTTCCAGACTTGTTTCCTTGTTCAGAGGGGAAAATGCAAGCTCTGTCTAAAATCCTGTGGTGGTAAGAGGAACAGGCAGACCACAGTTCTGGCTGCTCCTGAGGTTTCTTGCTCAGCTTGCTATCTCTTGTTTCACTATTCAACTCTAATGAAAAGCTTCTTCTCAAAGAGGAGCATATTTGCAAAGTGACCAAGAATTGAGGGATCTCAAACTAATGAGTTGCCTCTAATTCTGTGCCCCAATTCTGTGCCCTGTCTATGGAGGCAGATTCATTTGTTATGAACTGATCACGCCGCAGTAAAGTGATGACGGACTTAAGGCTGAGACTGCCAGCTTTGAGCTGGGAGTGGTGCTGGCCTGGGTGCAATGGGTGCGTATGGTGCAGAGTGCACGTGGGCTTGCCAAGGGTGAAACTTGCTTCAGTGCGAACCAGCAAAAGTCTCTCTGCAAGTTCTACTTCAGTCCTGATGAGCTAATGTAACATGGTCTTGAGATGCTGCATGTGCAGGTATCTTGGGCAAGCTGCTACTCCAAGAAAAGCTGAGGGCTTTTGGAGAACTGAAGTGGAAAAGGATGTTTTTCCCTAGCGTGGCTAAATGCAAAATGAAGCAAACCACGGGCTGTGCGCTCTGGTGAGCTGAGAGCAGATTGATACCCAAGCAATCAGCATAGGGACACGCTGACAGTGGAGATGTCACGTGAGTCATGTTTGAGAGGGGGGTCCTGGAGCTTTTTCTACTCTAACAAATAAAACAGCATGGGAGTGACCTAAGGGCCCTGTGACACAATGAGAAATCCCTGGGTTGGGGATTTTTTACCTCCATGAATTAGAATCATGTGAGAGAGTCTGTGTGTGTAATGGGGATTTTCAGTTTTGCCTGATTAGAGATACTTAATAGGGAAAAAGCAGAGTAAAGAAGAAAGATTTCTAAAAGAGTGGTTTGGCTGCACTAGTGTGGGATTTAGATGCTTTTATTTTTGTGATGTTTTAGATGCATTTGTCCTGGTCATGGCAACGGAGAAGACACACAGCTCAGAGGGACAATGTTAAAACACCCCTGGTTAAGGTTCACCTAAACGGGGCTCGGAGGACTGGACAGGCCCTGATTTCACGCATGCCCAGGCACCTGGGGCTTCAGTCTCAAGACCCAACATTGCATCGGTACCCTGTGTAGGCATGGACAAAACACTGCCAAATGTGGCCTCTGGGCTGCGCAGGTGACAGCAAAAGCACGAGCAGTACCTCCTATCTAGATGAGGACAGAGGACTGAGGCAAGGGCCATCTATGATAAAGACTGCATGCTGTGTTGGCTGGTGATAAAAACGAGTATAAAGCTTTCTTCTGCACTGTTTCTCCACAGTAAATCCATGCTTAAAAAGGGGATTGAAATCCTTTGAATTGTAGTGCTGATGGCACTGTTAACTAGATGCATGTTTCATTCACAACATTTCTACTTGTAGTAACTTTTAGTACACATGAAATATGACATGAGCCTCACCTAGCTGTGAGATACAGCTACGCTAAACTGAAGTGCTATCGCTTCATCTTTGCCCAATTCCTCTGTTCTGCGAGGCAGCAGCTGCGCTCGCAGTGAGTCTGTCCTTCTCTGTCCTGCTCAGTGAGCTTCTGGATTGTCAAACTGATAGTCTGTGTTCAATAATTCTCCTGCTCTCAGGCAAGCATGTCATAATCTGATCGAGCATCACCTTAGAACCAGTTTGATTTCTTGCACCTTGCTACTGCCAGAAAACTCCTTTTCCTCCCTGCTCGTGGACCTCTTCTAATTTCTGAGCTGAATTTATTCATGGCTACTTTATACCCATCTGTTCTTGTGCCAACACTGTCTTTTAGCTTGAACAGCTCTTCCTCCTCACTGCAGTTCCCAATCTTATGTGCTTCAGGAGCTGAGTTTATCCCTGCCAGTCCTCATGCTACTCTCCACATTAAACCAAACTCTCTAAGGTCTCCTGCTCTGCTGCGGGCTGCCCTTGCAGCTGTAGCCTCCGACTACTGAAGAGATCGTACATTTGACGCAGCGGGGGGGTGCCTAGGAGCACACTTTGTGGGTTGAGCTCCTTCCGTCCCTCCTTCGTCCAGCACAGCAGCCCCTTTACTCGGACGTGGGACCGGAGCGGCACGCGGTAGCACCACCCCTTCCCGGCTCGCCCTGGCGTTCACAGGTGCACCTTGACTTACTTGTGTGTAACGTGCAGCAGGGGAAAAACGTACATTTCCCTGTTAAAAGTGAATCAATAACTTGACCAGGGCCGGCCGGGAGCGCCACTTTAGAGCCTTCCCCGCTCTGCCCTGCTGTCCCATCCCGTCGCTTCGGGGCTGGGCTGGGCAGGGCTGGGGGAGGAGCGGCTGGAGACGGAAGTGAAAACAAGATCGGGGGGACGGAGCCACCGCCTCCCAGACGCGCAGCGGGTGTCCTCTCTTCTCCGCTCCCTGCGCCGTGCTGCACCGCACCGACGGGGTGAGTGGCGGCCCGGCTGCGGCGGGGGTAGGTGGGAAGAATAAGGAGTCAGCAGGTTGGATGGGGTTTCTGCAGCCCCACGGTGCTTACCTCAGGTTACTTTCTTTTTAATGCAGTTTTTTTAAAGAGGGTTTGAGGGCTGGAGCTGTCGGTGGAGTGCTGCGGGCAGCGCCCGATCCCGAGGACAGCGGCTCGGAATCCCGCGGGGAGCCCTGCCCTGCGGCCGTGAGGCACCTGTGTGGTTCCTTGCTCTGGGCCGAGTAGGCTGGGGCTTTGGGGTACCTGCTCCAGAGGCTTTGTGACACGTCGGGGAGCTAGCGGGGCTGTGGGGCGCTTTGGACTGAGACCAGCGCTGCGTGGGGAGCTCCGGTCTCCAGCCTGCGGTGGCCGTGAAGCTTCTCGTCCCGAAGCGCTTAGAGGGTTCGGTGGAGAAGCTGTGCAGAGGGGGTGCCGGGGCGTACGGGCTTTTGTGCTGGTGCCACTCCTTCAGGGCGGTAGAGCGGCCCCGCTGGCCACTACTGGGGTCTGGTGGCCAGTCCTGAGTCCCTGCGGCTCAGTGCCCTGATGGGCACTGGTGCAGGCGAGCCTTTCTGCCTGCGTTTTGAAATTCCCCCTTCCAGAAGTAGATCCCCCAAACGTTTGATCATCTAAATGAAAGTTGCACAACTTCACCCTTGGCTGGTTGGTTTGCGCAATGCATGTGGGGTTGGTGGGTTTGCAATGCTTTCTTTTGACGTGTTGCTTTACCATGTTTTAAGGAATCTGTTAAATTAAACTTTGAGTGGGTCTCTTTTGTCTGCCATGCCTTCCCTGGTGTGAGTGTAAGCCTGGAGATGCAGACATGGCAGAATCGAGGGGTTAGAAAGGAAAGATGAGTGATGCTGAGTGTGATGCGTAGTATTTCATCCTGCAGTCTCTTCCCTCCTGTTTGTATTGCTACAAGTGTAGCAACTTGTAGTACAAGAGCAGTAGTATTTTCTAATGGAGTTTAATATTTTCCTAGGTCTGTTATTGTAACTAGCTGTTAGTTAAAAAAAAAGAGAGAAAAGCTGCACAAGTGCTTCAGTTTCAGCTGCTAGGTAAAGCTTTCTGCCTGTGCCAGTGAACTGCTTGTGTGCTGGTCACGAGCTGTGGTTTGCTTTTCTCCAGTCTCTAATTTATAGCGACCTGTCACCACGGTGGATTTCATTTAGAGGGAATGAAAAGAATTCGTGTTTTTATATGGAAAGAAATCTGTGATTAATTAAAGTCCTCTTTTTATAAGGGATTCGGTGCGCAGAGCAATTAAATGACTTGTAGCCTAGCTTTAGTGTTGAGCGAGCCCCCTAGGAGTCCTAGCTGAAACTTGGTGGAGGCTTTTTGTTTCTTTTCTTTTCTTCCTCTTCAGCCACATAAAAACTCAGCAGTGTGTGTTTCCCCTCTGTACATTGGTGCTTGTTGAGACTTTTAGAGGTGGGTTTATTGGGCATCTAGAGTCAGAGGTGTCCTTTTGCTGGATGCCAACAGGCACGTCAGGAACTGGCTGGATACCCACTCCGAGTTCAGTTTCCTAATATATATATTGCTCTGCCTAATGTCAACAGCCGTGTTCTGGTTACCTGAGTGGCCATTGGTGGGAAGGAAGTTTACCGTTTGGTTTGGAAACTTATCTGAGCAGTGGATCTCTGTTACTGCTGGATTTCTAAGGGGGCGACATTAAATGTCCATCCGTGCACTGACAGAGGCTGCATGACAGACCTGCTCTGATGGTCTGTGAGGGTGGGCTGGTGGAGCCCAATGGGGTTTGCAGTCCGCTTGCTTCTGTTTGACTGAAGGTCCACCTTAAATGTCCCTATATGAGTATGGAATCAGGCTGTGCCCTGGTGTAGTCTTACACCAGCCCGCCCTGGTGTGCTCCTGCCTGGCTTCAACCACACAAAAATAGATGACATCCACTACCTAAGATGTCATTGTAACATTACTTATCCGAGGAGAAACTGAAGCCCTTATCTTTGACGCTGAATGGTAATTAAGTGCCTCAGTTGCCTTTTAAAGGTAGTTTAAAAGGAGGGAGATGCTTGGGTTTTGCTTCCTCAGTACCAAGTTGTGGCTGTGGGTATTTCACTTTAGTTCATGGCTTTCATTTGAGGGTTGGTTTTAAGATCCATTTTGTCTGTTACATTGTTCTACCAATATGAAGCTAATGCTATAAAAATAAAGAAGTCACAGGGTTTTTATTTTCTTCTGATTAACTTCAAAACTGCGATGTTTTGAAACTGTCAGGACATAATGTGTTTAGAAACAAGCTTCGAGCTGATGACATAGAAGCATATGATACTCATTTTGTTAGAAATGAATTTGCCAGCAGTGCTAATTTCTTCTGTACTTGGATTTAAGGGATACTATCAATTCATGCTTGTCTCATTGAATTTTTTTAAGATGAGCTTCAATGCTGGGGGTCCCCCCACTTTCCCCCCCTATGTTAGTGTTAGGGAGAAGTAGCTGTCAAGACGCCTGCTGGGAAATCCTCAAAGTCCAAAGTCTATGTTATGTTCCCTAGTTACATTGCTTCCTAAGCTATGGAGGAAAACAACATACGAGGAATAAAAGCACAAGTAATGACCAACCTGATATGTATTTATTGGCTGTTTTTATACTATGAAGGGGAAAAGATAAAGAAGCCTTTCAAAATAGTAGACAGTGCCTTTTGTTTTTTTAGTCTTTAAATTAGAACTCTCATCCTTTTCCACAGGCATCAGTTCTTTGGATTTGATCCTTGAAAACTAAACAACATGAGCAACTACAGCGTGTCTTTGGTCGGCCCGGCTCCCTGGGGTTTCAGGCTTCAAGGGGGCAAGGATTTCAATGTGCCTCTATCTATCTCTCGGGTAAGTGCATGTGTCCCTTTGCCTGCATGTGGGTATCTGTTATGATGTGGCCAACCTGCAGCCTTCAGGCATAAGTATGCAAAGCCGTTAGGGTTGCTAGGGTTCAGCTTGCCCTGTCGCATGGAGGGCTGTTGGGGGGAGGGGCGGGGGAAGACACTGGGAAAATAATTCAGTGTTGTCTGAAGGCTCCAGCAAAATTATTTTAGGAAGAATGTGTTTGCTTGGAATGGGCACTTTATCTGCATTTACTTATGCAACAAGAAAAGAAGCCACCCTTTAATTCCCACCCAGAAAACACCAATGCAGGGGCTGGAGGCTGGCAGGAAACAAGCAATTTTCTGTGCAGGGCTGCGTCTGTGCAGTTCAGATAGGAGGCAGCGGGGAAAAAAATCACTCGGGTTACCCTTGTTTATTCAGCAGCTCTTAGCAGCTTGAGGATCTCCTGGTGTCTGTGCTTGCAAATCCCGCTATTTACAATAAAAAGGCACTTAAATGGCAGTAGCTGTAAATAGCAGTTCATCAGTATGTGCCTGAGTGAAAGTGACAGTTTCTCATGAGTATTTTATAGTGTATGTGTTCTGAACTGGTATTCAAAGGATTTGAGGAACTAAATCAAAACAAATGTGATTTTTGTACCCAGGCACTATGTAACCAGTTTCCTACTTTAAAGCCACTTTTTCAAGGAAGGCTGGTCTTTCAGTATAGGCTGAGTTTCAAAGCCTTCCTCATATAGCTGAAGCACTTCACAGGGATGAACAGTATTGAGTTTATAGGATCATTGGAAATCTCTGGGTAAAGAAACTGGCTCCTGATGGCTCTGTACTCTGGCACCTTTAAATTTGGTTTGCAGCATGGAAGCATTTATGTACAATGGCCTCTTGTCTGTTGACAGCTCTCCTCTGCCTCCTGCATATTCATATAGTTTAGTGACAAAGATGAATTATTTTTACACCTGTTGGGACTGCAGAACTGATACTGCCTTGGAAGATGGAGCAGGTTTCTATTTGGGTTTATGCATCATGGGAATATTTTTAGCTAATCTCAACTAGCAATTCAAACCCTGCCAGTTCGTTTAAACTTGGTTTATTCTGTCCACTGGTAGATTATGCTGGTGAAGTTAAAATAAGGTTTGGCTCTACAGAATTACTTTTATATGGCTAAAATGGACTGGAGAGGTGTAGAAATACCTGTGTACAGATGAGTACAGATGATATCTGAGCCAGAAAGGGGTTGAGAAGCAGTTTATTCCCAAATTCCAGGGATTTTCAAGCTAAACTGCAATTCAGTTTCGTGTTCGGTAGCCGGTTACTCCTACAGTAATGAGAAATTTGAACTAGGGTTGTGGATAATGCTCTTCTGATTTGATGGTAGAAGGGCTGTCATAAGAAGGATTTGGAAAAACATAGGCTCCTGCCTACATAGGGTATTCGTACATGGTACTGATGAGTAGTTAAGTACTTGGACGCAGTAAACCCTAGTAAACAGCTAGTTTTAGGGAAGGGGAATACTTATTTTTTGTAGGAGCCTTTGCAGATCTGGAGATCTACCATACAGTCTCACTGTTAAGCAGCCTTCCTCTAAAGAGGAAACATATGTTGAAATTAGTCTAGACTACTACTTTATTGCAGGAATCAAATACGCTGTCACATGGAGTAGCCTAGGGGAATTGGCCTAAATAGCTACATATAAAAGCCTCAGTTATGGGATTCCCTAATGACAAATGTCAGCGTCTGCAAAAGCAGAATGTAATGAAGGATGTGGACTGTGTGGTTTTAGGACTTTAATTTGTGCATGGGATGGGAAAGCACAATATCCAATTCAGCTATTCTACCTTAGCACTGCTCCACAGCTGAACTGTTTCTTACTTGCAGTTATGTGTGTAAGAGTATGCAAATATTAGACTGCCAAAAAAATGGTGTGTGTTTTATTTTCTCTCCTTTGGATTAAAAAAGTGCTTAGTTCTGGTATGCCAATCCAGCTTTGGCCTGATAGCTGGAAGAATTCAATGCTGTGTTCCTGGTATGCTAGAACAGTGCATACCATTCACACCCTCCAGCCCTTCTTTTCCTGATGAAGCATAAATGACTTCCTGTGTCCGAAGGCTGCTAATTAAATTATTCTAGCAAAACAGTAATGAGAAAGCAGAATTATGTTCTTTGGCAAGGAGGACTTCTTCAGTTTTGTTTTGTTTTTAGCTTGTCCTCTAGATGCTGAGAATGAATCTGGCTGCGCTGCTGAGGGCCAATTTCCTGCTTTAGTTTAAACTCCTTGAAATTAAGTTCAAATAAAGTACAATGTACTAAACACAGAAACTAAACAGCTTTAGAAACCAGTGTATCTGAAACGCTAATCACTTTTTACTAATGATTTGACCAATTTAAGGTCTCAGTGGTTCTTTGGAGAAAGTTTTTAGTAAGTTAGGTAGCTTTGTGCAGAATGCAGTTGTAATGAATGTATTCCTTGTTGCCTCTGTAAGGTAAACCAAGCCTGGTTTGGGTTCTTCAGTTGAAATTCTTAATGTCAGCCAAGGTGTAGCAGGTTAACATTAACGCAGAGGTAGCAGTAGCATTTGATTTTTCATGAGCTAGTATATTGTAGACTGGTTGCAGCATAACCAATAGCAACAGTTATTGCAAGGTTACGTCAGTCACTTTATATAGCTCTCTTAGTGCTTTATAGTTGCAGTGTATACTGATACAGCTGTACACATTTCATGGTAAGTAATATATGTGATGTTGGGTGTATAGCCTTATAGTTAGTGGCATAAATCTGCACAACAAAAATGCTGCAGTGCCTTTTATATATCCTTGAATCTGGTTGGACTTCAGCAGGGTGGCTTTTCACAGTCCTTCTCCATACCTTGTGAAGGCACCCATCTGAGCCCTGCAGAGCCATTATGCAGGTCAGGAATTCAACACTGGGAAGCTGATGTGGGGTGGAAGTGGTGATGGTAGTGTGGTGGTGGGTATGGATCTGACTGAAGAGGGCTCAGTGGGAAGGAAGCTGCTCTGAATGTAGAACAATTATATATTTACTCTTCAACCAGGAATGAAGGGTGGGCTGAGGTAGTAGATCTATATCTTTTATTAATAGCTAAGTGTTAAAGAAGCTCAGGCCACCACATGTAACTGTACTGTAGGTTTATTCTGTGGTGGTACTTGTAGAACAGGAGATTGTGCAGTCTCAAAACAGTACTTGTCTCTGGTTTATACCACTAGAAACAAGGAAATACTGAAGTGAAACCTTACTTTGAGCAGTAATGTAGCCTGTGTGCATTATATACAATTCCACTATAATATACTTCCACCTAATGCAAATACATGAGATGTTTTCTTTTATTTGAAAGTTATTTTTTTGTTTAATCCTTATGGCAACTCTAGTCAGCTTCCTTCAGAAAATGTTTTGCTATATGTCTTTCTCCTCATGCAAGAATGAAATGGAGTATGTCTTCTTGAAATGCTTGACTTGACTTGACTGACAGCTCTGTTTTTAATACAGCAACTTCGAGTGTGTTTTTCCCACAGCTTCCTACTGCTTCACTGTTCACTTTGCCTCTTAGAGCAACAACAAAAAAACCCAACCCAACCAACCAGCCGGAACCCAAAGAAACAAACAAAACCCACACAACAAAAAACAAACCACAAAACAGCCCACCCCAGAAAACAAACAGAAATCCCAAACCTTAGGAATAACCCTTTTTTTTTTTTTTTTGCAGTTTTTAAGTTTTCAATATTTCATCTTTTTCAAATGTGTTTTTCTGTGGTATAAGTGTTGCAAGCTTATAGTTGATGGGAGACTCACAATAATGAATGTCAGCAAGCAGTACCACCAGGGAGTAGGTGGAAGAGTAGGCCACCGTGGGATGAAGTAGGGAGTACATGTCCATTCAGCTATGCATCAATGCATCAACTGCTTGGTATTCATCCCATGTGAACACATTGAAGTATCTTCATGCTGATATCAGGAGGTCCCTGTCAGAGAAGTTGTCTCCTTTTCTCTCCTGCTTTCCTTCCTTCCTGCCCAGGTACATACATGGCTACCTAGCAAGCTGTGCCCATGGGTGGAGCATGTATGATTGTTTTTGCACAGTGTTTGCTTATTCAGGGTTTGGTCTTGGCCACCTTAATATTTGGAAGCAAGCTGTTTTAAAGGTATTAACATGTGTGAAAATAACGTCAATGAGAAGATAATAAAGGAAAATGGTGCATTTAATGCACCTAGAGCATGTCAGATTTGATTGACTGGAGTCTGGCTGAGACTGTTGCCCTTGTGTTTGCAGGAATTATTAAGACAAGTGTGTAATTTTGAGTAAAATCATGTTTTTTTTTTTTGTAAGTATGAAATAAGTTATTGAAGGGGGAAAGGGGAGGGTGGGGATGGATTTCGGAAATGGTCTTTCAAGCAGGCATGTGAAATAGGAGAGAAAAACTGGAACAACTGGTGGCCTGGCCAGTGATGATTGTGTCAGTAACTTTATGCTCCATCCTGGAAACTACTGACTAAGCTCTAACTGGCAGCTGCTGCCATTGCTGTGCTGGTTTGATCTGCTACTGAGTTGTGATGGTTTGCACAAAATACAGCTGAAGATGTATTCCACTACTGCAACTCCCTGACACAGGGTCAAAGGTACCGGCAGAGGTCATGGCACTTACCTGCTGATCCTGCTCCTAGGTCAATAAATGCTGTGTTTTACAGGACCTATCAGTTCTTATGAAATAAATGGGATTAGCCAAGACATACATGAAGAAGCGTTATTCTGTTCTGTTTAATTCTGTTTACAAGATGCGGTTTACTGCAAAAATACTGAGAATGACGAATGAGCTACCAGTGCCAAAGTCTGCATCCTCTCTGCACCGAGTCCTGAAGGAGCAGAGTTTTTCCTTTAAGTGGAATATGGGCAATTGTAAAGCTCCCAGATGCACAAGTGGTTTAATACAAGTGAGCTTGTGTAGTTGCCTGCAAGCAACATCCTTCTATAGGGCTCCTCAGTTTAGCTTGAA